CAGGAAGGTCCCAGGGGGTGGTGATGGGCTAGTGATCATCATCTCCTCAGGACCTTTTCTTTGGGGTCCCTCAAGGCTCCATCTTCCCACCCCTAGCATTCAATGTATGCATGGGGATGCTGGACAAGACTGTGTGGAGACTTGGAATAAAGTGCCATCATTATGTTGACGATACCCAGCTCTACTTCTCCTTCTCATCTGAACCTGGCCCTACAGTCTCAGTCCTTTCCTGGTAGTTGGGGATTGGATGTGGGTGAAACAACTGAAATTGAATCCAGACAAACAGAGGTGATGGTGGTGTGCAGGCCACATGACCTGGGGAGGACTGGGACACCTATAACTGATAGGTTTCTGCCTCCCTTTGTCACTCAGGTTCATAGCTGTGGGGTGCTCCTGGATCCTCTGCTGCGACCTGGATCTTCAGGTGGCAGCAGTGGCTAGGAGTGCCTTTCACTAACTCTGAGAAGCTGTGACCATTTCTTTCAGATTCTAATCAGGACACCCCCATCCACACCTTCATAGCCTCAAGACAAAAAACCACATGGAGGCTGCAGCTAGTGCAGAATGGGTGGGTTGCCATAAGAATGTATCTCCAGCATGTCTGCAAGTCCCCAGTAGCTTTCTAAGCACAATTCAAGGTGCTAGTTTTGACCTATAAAGTCCTAAATGGCCAGAAATCCACATCTCTAAGGGACCATCTTTTTTCCTATGTCCCATCACAATCGCTAAGGTTAGCTGAGAGCAATCTCCTGCAAGTAGTATCTATACACCAAATATGCTTAATGAAAATGTATGAGATTGTTCTCTGCAATCGCTCTTCAGCTCTGGAACTCCCTCCCTCTTGAAGCCCATCAGAACCCAAGCCTTGACATCCTTCAAAAATGCTGCAAGACCTTTCTGTTTGAGCATGTATTTAAAAACCAAAACTAGGCCAAGATGTTGTTTAATGGGTCTCTATGTCATTTTGTTTTATTCTATTTTGTATAATTTATTCTAGTTGCCTGTTTACATTTCTGTTTCTCTTGCTGTAGGTCACCCTGAGTCTTTGTTGGGAAGGGCAGCATATAAATTGCATAAATAAATAAATAATCAGCTCAAACATTTAAAGCCAGATCCTATTCTACGTATTTGGTGTCTAAGCAGACTTAAAATACTAAGCATGATTATATTCCACCATGTTCAAGTCCCTGAAAGTCCACTGATACATCTATTATTGCAAAACACTATCCTCTTACCGTTAAAATGAATCAGAAAAAATGGTAAGGAGAAGGACACACTTACCTTTTTGCATTAATCATTTTTCAAGAACTCAGGCAGGGTGGAACAGGATCACGCTTAGGCATGTAAGTCTATTCACTTATCTAACAGGTGGAATAGAATCTTAAAGTGTAATTGTAAAATGGGTACTTTTAACAATTTTGTTAAGGAAAGGTAGATATTGTGGGGTTTAACAAATGTCTCAAACTGCATTTCCCTAAAATCACAAAAACAGGTCAAGAATTTAGTATTGCCCCGTAATTTAAATCCATCTCTTGAATATGTAAATCTTGTTTAAAAAATTGGTATTTTCCTTTACCCTTTCTTGTAAAGCCCATTTTTTGGGATATGACACTGGAATAAGCATTTTATTCTCCATTTTATCACTGGAATAAAGTCAAATAAAACGTATACACTTGAAATAATTATTTTTCAGTTTTCCTTTAGTACAATGTATTTGTCTTGTACCTATCCCAATGGCACTGAATCATGCTTTCTAATTCCCAGAACAACCAAGCTGCTTGGCAAATCTAGCCAATATGAACATTTCCCACTTTTCACATTATCATCAACATAAATTGGAGAATGTACTTGAATGTTGAATTACATGATCAGAGATGGCCTTTTATGGACCTCTTCAGACTTTCTGTCTTCAGGAATTTTTTTGAAACTCAAGTGCAATCTTCTGTGACCCAGTTGCCTGTAATGATGACTTGCTTAATACCATGAAACAGTGTCAGATCAGTCTCTTGCTGCAACTATTTCCTCTGCTAGAGAAATACTAGCCAAAAGGAGGATGACTGACACACAGACACAGGTTAACCTATGATTTGGTTTCGAGGTTTTATGAAAAGATGATTCTTAAGACACTGATCCAGAATTCATTTGCATATGCATATTACCTGATTCAATGAAAGCAGGGCATGTGTGAGGCTGGCACCATCCATCTCCAGGGAAGAGACACTTCAAAGTGTTCTTTCACTTGTACACACTAGACAGTATGTTGGAACTGTACTGTAGATATGGAAAAGTGGCTCACTACCCTCCTCAGAACAGGGAAGCTATGGCATTTGAATGTAACCTATTCAATGTTTTGTACAGCTAATGGGAGAAGCAAAAATATAACTCAAAAGGAATGGGTCTAAAATACACTGCAACCAATGTTTCTAGAGCTCCAAAATCATTGTCATAAGAAGGCAAAAACCTGTTAATCTAATCTCTGCCCACGAGGAGGATGAGCAAGCCAGTTCCAAACCTTGGCTATTTTAGTTAAAAAATTGAAAAAAAAACATGAACTCTACCCAATTAGGAATCTGAAGTCATTAACCATAAGCACATTTAAAGGGGTAAATGTGTGTGAATTCTCCTCCTAACAGAGTGGAATTAAAAGGCCATGATTCTGCAGAGAAAAGTGATCTTAAAGACACTGCGTAGACTGCATTTTGAAGCAGTCTCACTGTTTCTAAACTGATGGGTGAGCTACATTTATTAACCCTGGGCCTGATTCTAAAACATTTACTCACATTGAGCAGTACTTAATGACGAGTGGAACCTTTGAAATTAATAGAAGCTACAAGCATAGGCAACTGGTAGGAGGGATACAGGAGGGCAAGTGCCCCCCCCCTGCTCCCTGACAGGGCTGTCCCCTGCCGCTGACACCGGCGGCGGCTTCTCTGGGTGCTTGCCAGCCCTGTCCCCACTGCCAATGCCACTGGCAGTGGCTGCGGGTGCTTGCCAGCCCCATACCTGCCACCGCCACCGGCAGCTTCTGCAGATATTCACCAGCCTCGTCCATGCCACCGCCACAGGCTTTTGCAGGTACCCCCCCCAGACTCAGGAGCCCCGTCGCCCATGGCTACAAGAATGAGTAAGTAATATCGCTTAGTGGGTGCATCTACACATGCATTAACATGTTTTAATGTGCATTAAATCTAGTACCTCCATTGTGAGGTAGTATGACATTTGCACATTAGCTTGTCTTAATGCACATTAACTAAAGAGCATGGAGTGCCTTTACACGGGTGCAGAGGCTGCTATGATGTGCTGGAATTCCAGCGTACCAGAACAGACTTGATTAATGAAGTCTGCTGGAGCTTGTCAATTACGGCACTCCAGCAGCCTCCTGCATCTCGTGTATCAGCATCCCTGCCCTTAAAAATGGTGGCAGGGGGCATTTGAACTAAAGCTCACTCAATGAGCTTTAGTTCAAGTGCCTCCGTCACCATTTTTAAGGGCGGGGACACCAATACATGAGACACAGTGGCACTTTAATTAGAGTGGCTCTCGGAGCCACTCTAATTAACGTACCACCCCGCTCCCATCCCAGAGCCCACGTAAAAGTGCCCATGGTTTTTAAGTGATACTTAATGTGCATTAGCCTATTTTAATGTGCATTAACTAAACAGCATGGCTTTTTTAGTGACACTTTAATGCACATTAAAATAGACTAATGCACATTAAGGTGCACGTGTAGACACACCCAGTGAGTATTACTGAGGAACATCAGCTACTTGGTGTCAGTGATGACTACAGACTTGAGTCCTCTATGAATTTTTGGAATATCCTTTTGCAAAGTGGATAGATAATATAAGTGTTATTAAATGTTTGAAGCAGCAGTGAAGCAGTATCACTTTCCATGATTCTTGTTTCTATTTACTACAAGTTTCCAAACCTATTTGAAAAAGATTATGCAGGCATAACTGTTAAATTCATCTTGACACTTACTTTAAATGTGCAAAGTTTCACAGTCACTTTATAAACAAATCCTGTACATAGTGTTTATTTTTGTTTGCTGTTATAGGGTTTTTTCTAAATTAATTAATCTGGGGACAGTAGCAAGAGTCAAAGACATAAATCCTGCAAAGAAAAAGATATTGGAAGAAAAATACAAAATGGGGTGAGCCATGATACCTGGAGAAACGCATCTATTAAACTGTCAACTTTAACCTTAAAAAATAACTAGACATTCATTGTTGAAAAGTAACAGCAAAACAAAGAGTACATTAATATCTTTCACGGAACAAGGAGCAGGAGGGCCTGATAACATCCACAGTCTACCCACCAAGGACACACTTGCACCTCCAATCATCAACTTAAATACATGACAGTCAACAAGAATAAATATAACATGGATGTACACACTATGTATGAAAGTGTGCCGCAAGCAACATCTAGGAAGTGCAGGCATCCACTCTCCATTGACACCATTATACTAAGACATGATTATCCAAGAAAGAAAGATGCAAATAAAAATTGGTCATTATAAGATCTGCTGCTGATTTAAAAATTAAATTAAAGAGTATTTGTCTGAAAATGATTCACTGTGATTGAAGGCTTTTGCTTACCCCTTTCTGGAGTCCCCCATATGGGTTTGTTGGGAATTTCTGCAGCAGAAAAACAGAAGAGAAAAGGGATTTCTGACTCCTGGTTCAAAAAATAGTGGATCAAACGTCCTCTATCTGGGCAAAAGCTTAAGAAAAGCCCCAGAGGCTTGAATGGTCCCTATACCAAATCTGACTTTAGCTCTTCCTCACTCATCAGTTGCCTCCAAGAGAAATCCTACATTATTTAACAAACAGAAAAAGCCACAGAGGGAATGATTGGGGATGTAAATGAAAGGAGATTTCAATAAAATTGTAATTAATCTCAAACTGAAAAAAATCAACACGTGAGTTTAAGAATTCCCCACATTTAGGGGTCACTACTTTCTAATATTACTTATTTATTCAAAATTCTACCTGTCAAATGATATCCTATTCTGAAGGTCAACTGAAACATTTGCTTGCTTGTCCTTCATCTCTCTTATCTTTCCCGAACTCTTGCTCAGATTTCTTCAGAGAGAGTGTGGTTTTAAAGTAATTTCCTTCTTTGCATTTCTCAAATCCCAACTGGTTTGTGTTTTTTAAATCTCATGCTATGTAAGGAGGCCATGGCTTGATATAGGGAACTTTTCTTGATTTGGTAATCAAACTGCTGAAAACAAATACAAATCCAAAATAGAGAGTCCCAAGTCATTTCCTAGAGGAGGCAGCCCCAGTTACTTCAATCACATCAAAGACATCATGGCAGGTATGTTCACAAATTGCTGACAGTAAATGGGGAGCTGTTTATTGGTGAGAGTGGTAATGCAGCTAGGGGAGAGAAAATCCAAACTGGAGAGTGGCAGACAGTAGCTAAAACTGGCAAACTGTCCCTTGCAAATCATACTTGGTTTTCTTGTTTCCAGGAAACTCAGTACGTAACTTTAATAATTTTTCCCATGAAAAGAGGTGTTGTAGAAATCAGCAGTGATGATTCTTTTCCTTTTCTTATTACTGACCATCTAATAATATACTCATGCCATTTATAGTGAAGAAAAGGCTGGCCATGAAACAAGTTCAAATTACAGTGATTTTTAGTTAGGGGCATGAGAGCCCAGAAAAATCTAGGCTCCATATTCAGCCAGAACACCCCCTCCTTCTAACACTGCCAAAATGAACTTAGGGAGAAGTCATGGGCTAAAATCCTAAATGATAATTTAGAGAAATCTGGGGAACTGCAATTTTTTTTCTCTGACAGGTTTGTTTGCAGTCCATATCATAGGAAAGCAGAAGGTGCTGCAAAACTGACTTCTATAGAAAAAGAGTATAGTGTTTAAGGTATGAAAAATATAGCAATGGAAGCCATTTTTCAGTACATGTATGAACTAGATCCACAAAGAAAACTTAGGTGCCACAGCACTGAGTATGGCAGCATCAAACTAGGTTTTGGTCTGTGGTCCAATGAATACTTTCATATAAAATAGTGAAAAATACATTGGAACAGGTATTGACACCCAGCTATCCTCCTGCCCAAGTGAGCACCCTAGCCAGTATTTTAAGGTCATGATTGCTTGCTTTCTTTGGCATAATGAATGTTTCATTATTCCATACAGCATATAATAACTTCAACAGGAGCCATTAAGAGCATATCTACCTCAGAATAACTGGAAGCTTGGTGGGAAATGGGCACTTTCAGGCACTGAAACTAGGTCTTACACTTCCTGGGTAAACTATACACTAAACCAGGGCTGTCCAATAGGGAGCCTATGGGCCACCTGTGGCCCTTGGGCTCCCAGTCCAGGCTGCTGCTGGACTCTCCAGACTCCCTCTCTCTCCTCCAGATTCTGTTTTTTGCCTCCACCCCTGGGTGCTGTGCAGCATGTCCCACAAGCCTGAGAAAGCCCACAGTCAAAGGGTTCAAGGGGAGCTGGAGACCACACAGGGCACAGGAGGTCATCCTCCATGCAAGGGGAGGGCACACGATGCAGCAGGCGGGGCATGTGGCACAGTGTGCAGGGCATAAGAGGTGCTAGCATGATGCATGGGGGTGGCCACCATGTGGCATGGCAGGGGGTTGGCTTGTGCAGCATGCAGTCTGGAGGTGTGTGGCCCTTATGGCATTGCTGAGGGGCCTGCGACCCTTGGTCACCCAGAATTTGGAAAACCCTGCACTAAAATGTTGGGTAGAGGAAAGGTATTACAGCTCCCTGCTCCTCTTCCTGATGATGTTTATGCTTAACCTTTTCTAGTAGGTATGCTCTAGGAACCCCTATGGGATCAGACCCTGCTGGCAATATAGGCAGAGGAATGCCCAGTTTGGGGATCACTGTTCACCATTGCCAGGCCTAAGGCACTTGGGGCACGTTCAGAAGACCTGTGGGTAACCACAGAATTTAATGTTTAAAACTTAGGTTGATTGGGAGTTTGGAGGATCTAAATTCTTAGGCACCTAAAGTGGCAGATATTCTGTATGTATTTTTAACAATCCAATACTTAATTTCTTCTGGAACCAGAATGAAATTTAGAAAACGCTAAACTTGTACAAACTTTGCCAATTTCAAAATTCACCAGCTCTCAGAGTTTGAAGTGGGTTTATGTAGAATCTGATTTGCATTATACACACTTCAGATATAATCTGTTTTCATCCTGCATTTTCATGATTCGTTGCATATATGCTCCAAAAAATACATTGTACATATGTACATACATGTCTGTGTGTGAGAGAGAGTAACTATTTTTACAGCATTTAAGTTTAATTTGCATTCAACTGCTGCTCTTAGAATGATTTTCCAGGAGATCCAAACCTTCTTCACAGCTGAAGAAGAGACAAAATACAGGCAGCCTTTTTTTTTATTGAATTAATTTGATTTTTGTCTTTTGTGCTGCCAGCTATCAAAATTGTCAAATAAACCAGCTTTGATTCATAAATAATGGTTCCATTATATCTACTGTGCCACTGGTCAGAGTACCTGAAATTTTAATTCACTTGTTCAGCTAAATTTCATCCTCAGTTCATGGCCATAAAATTCTGTATTGACAAACTTTCAAACTAACTTTGACTCTGAGGTATCTAGTCAACATTTTTCTTCTGTGTGGATATTAGTTTATTGAATAAGTGGCATCTGTTTTCCTCCACATCCCTAGTGGAGTAGGTATTTCCTTTTGACAGCTTTGCACGATTTATGGGTTTGCATGCTCTGAAGAAAAATAGTACTAAGCAAAAAATCCCAATTCATTACCTCTTAGTACTTAATTAAGTCCATACACATTGCACACTATAGGTGAACCCTGAAATGACTATGACAGCCACTGAACAGCAAGTTATATTATCTTTGGAAGATAGAGAGACTTTTAATTATCTTGACCTCATTTTTCCGTCTATGATATTAATAAATTTTCCTCCTATTTTATTCCCTCCAACAGATCTACCAAACCATTCTGAAAACAAGATTATATTCTTAGCTATTTCTTCTTATCTGTACATTTAGGCACCGAATGTTTTTACAAATAGTGAAGTCAAGCAATGGCCATTATCGGCTTACTTCACACAGCTGCAGATGAATAATGTTGTACAGGCTTCTCCTAATAATGGCTTGGTTTTGGAAATGATAACAGGCTGATAAAAGCAGAAAGCAGTGCATCTGGCTATCAATAGATACAGAAATAAAGAGAGCCTGTGTTTTACCTGTCAGGGTTCTGCGTACACACATGCATCTGTAAGAGGATCCGCTGAGTGAAAGTCTTAAAGCATTGCCCACATTTCCAAAGATGCCAGTCACTGAACTCAGAATTTAGTTGGCTTGTTGAAGTTGGGCTTGCAAGAACTCGCTGGTTTTTTACACTGATCTGGTTAAATCCTGACTCGATGGACCCAGACTTATCCAGAAGAGAAAAATTTCTGCTGCATGGAGTCTGTGGAAATACTATGGATCGCTGTGGAGTGGCAGGGGGTAGTTTGCTACTTTTATTAAATGGCTGTAGGGTGTCTTGTCTGGACATGGCCTCCATTACCGTCGAAGGGACATTCACTGAGAGAAACAAACAAACAAACAAACAAGTAAATAAGAGCTTCTTTACTATTTTCTTAAAATGAATGCAGTTTGGAGGGAAGATAAAAAAATCAACATCTTTTCAGATAGAATCAAGCAGCATCATTTTAATAATGCATATACAATGCATATAGAGAGGTGAGGATGAATCAGTGATCTGAAGGGTCATGATGTGCAAACACTTATCCAAAGAGACATCTGAGAGTTGAAGAAGATTCAGAGTAGAGTAAGAGTGGTAAGAAGAAAGGAACTGAGGTCTGAGACAAAATTCTGCTGGTCTGACTCTGTATGAGAGCTGTATATTGCAGATACTATACAGTTACAGGGTGAACGATACACATGCACTTGCAGAGCTGCAGCGCTTCAGCCCCTCTGCTTCCTAACCCACAGAAGAACCCTCTTAGCTCTTGTGGTAACACTTCCCTTGCAGGTAGCCAGTAAAGGCCAAAAGCACCTCCTCACTCAGGCATGCAGCTCCAGTCCAGTATGGAACCAGTACAAAAATAAGTATTTTTATTGTGCATGAGTAAGGCTAGCAAGATTTAGTTCACTGTAAGACAGTGCAAAATGTAAACCTAATTACCCTTGTGCCTCAGTTCCCCACCTATGAAATGGGGATAAAAGTGTCGGGATGATAAATTAATTAAGCATTATGAGACACTCCACTATTTTGATAACCAGTTAAATATAATTATTCTCATGAAGAAATAAAATAGTTTATATTCAGCTTAGCATTTGGAGGCAGTGTGGTATATAAGGAAGGAAATTTACATGCATAAAAGACTAATGAGCCTCATTCCCTGAGCAATGCCCAAACAATACATTGAATGAGGCAGGAGCTAGTGGAAAACATAGTTCAGGAATCATCTATTTAAAGGCTATACCATAATTCACAAAATTAAGATCACCTGGACACCTTAAATTCTGGTGTTTCCTAATTTTTGAGTGCTTGATTTTTGCAGTCTAATATTATTTAAATATAGGGTGTTTTGTGTTTTATGCCTGTGCACACATGTGGCTCCCTTGGGAGCCCATCTGAAATGGGCTCCCAAGGGAGGTGGTGCTCTCCCCAACCTGGGGGTCTTCAAGAGGAGGTTAGATAGGCATCTGGCTGGGGTCACACTTTCCTGCCTATGCAGGGGGTCGGACTCGATGATCTATTGAGGTCCCTTCCGACCCTAACATCTATGAATCTATGAATCTATGTGTGTGCATGTAAGTGAGTGAATTACAGATCTTAGCAGATCATTCAGCTGCTGCTTTATCTTAGTGAGTGATTTTGACTAATTTCTGATTAATTGCTGTAGGGTTTAAATTGCAACAGTAAGCTGTAGCTTTCCATTGTTATTCAAGATGAAATAAAAAAAATACAAACCCATTTTGATAAGATACTATAAATAAAATCAGTTTTTACAAATTTTTATTTTAATAGTTCCTCAACCAGGAAAAAAGGGTAATGTAAGGTATTTAATTGATATGTAGCTATGCTCTCTCTCTCTCTTGCTCAGCATTATGGCATCCCAGAGCTTCTTTTAGAAGTAGTTATACTCATTTGGCTGGGCATTGCAGTACAGTTTTAAAGACATAAAAAATATTTTAGGTGTATCTATAAGATATGAAGAAGAAGCAGTGGTCTGTGTATTTATATTGTCTTAATGGTAACAGGAAAATCAAATTACATTTTTTAAAAGTTGCAAATACAGAACTCATCCAAGGAATCAGATCAGGAAATTAAGGAACTGAGGAATCACATCACAGTTCATCCCAGGGGAAATTCACCTTTGTGCAAAAGGCCAGTAGAAACTCTATTTTGAGGGTTTAAGTGGCACTTAAAGTTGTGCATGGTCCTTATGTTGGCTCTGTGCCCAGAGAAAAAATTCACCCTTTTCGTCAGTCTCCCTAACTTGTAGAGGCAAATCTTCAATTTCTCTTGCAACAAAACAGTGAGTGACAATACACAGAGATTTAACTGTGTTGCACCATTTTTAAATAAGGATCTTGCAAGTTACAACTTACAAAAGTGAAAACAATATTTTTGTATTGCCACTGGACAGCTTGATATTTATCACTGAATGTTACTGCCAGTAACTTAATTTCTTTTAAACTCTTCTCAAGCTCAACAGATTTGAAAACTCATGATGAAAAAGGATGTTTATTTTTGACAGTTTAATCCCCAATATCTTGCTGTTTTATTGCTTTGCGGTTCAGTATTTAAGTTGCTAAGAGATACAAGTTCATCTCAGTATAGCAGTTCAAGTATCCAAGTATTTGACTGAAAAAATATATCTTATATATAGCTGATTATGCGTTGGCAGCCACAGGGTCACTTTCAGCCAAACAAAGTCAATCAAGCATCTATTATTGGTTTCTTCCACCACATACACACACACAGCTGTCAAAATGGAAAAGAAGTCTCCAATGCAAGTTTAAAGGAGGGAGTCCCATACATAAACAGACCAGTTGTGTGAGTCCCTGAGCCCTCCTAATTCTCACTAAATATGAGGGCATAAACAGCATGCAGGATTGGGTCCATATTAAAAATGGTATTTTTATTTTGCTTTTCACAATAAAATAAAAATAAAATATTGAAAGAAAGGTAGGACAGGAATAAATGGAGATAGGGATGATCACAACAAGATGGAAGTACTATCATCATAATAAGTTAGTTATAATTATCTTTTATTTAAAGGATCTCGCATTTTCTCCGACTACAAAAACGTCATCTTTTTGGTTAGTCAGATAAGGCCTCAATCAGCACATCCAATGCTAATACAATTATGAAACAGTTGCAGTGGCCTCAAATGACATTATAATATCCTTTTGGCTATACAGGATTATAGGAAAGTAAGTCTCGAAAGAATCTCACAAGGTCAGCCAGTCCGGCCCCCTGCTCAAGACAGATTTGTCCTAGCCAAGTATCTGGCCAACTTGCTCTTGAAAATTTCCAAGGATGAAGATTCCACCACTTTGCTAGGGAGCCTGTTCCACAGCCTGACTATCCCTAGAGTCAGAAAGTTCCTCCAACCTAAACTTCCTCTGCTGCAGCTTGAGGCCATTGTTTCTAGTCCTGTTCCCTATGGCCACAGAGAAAAATCCATCTCCATCCTCTCTATAATTGCCTGTCAGGTATTTGAAAACTGTTATCAAATCCCACTCAGTCTTTTCTTCTCCAGACTAGGGGACCCTAGTTCTTTCAGGCCTTCTTCATAAGTCTTGCTTCCCAGGCCCCTAATCATTTACGTCGTTCTGCACTGGACTCAGTGCTGAATAGACTAGAAGAATCACTCCCCTTGATTTGCAAGTGACACTCCTGTTAGTACACACCAGTATGCTGTTGGCTTTTTTCTGCAATAAGAGCATGTTGTTCAGCGTACTGTGTACCATAACCTACAGGTCCTTCTCTGCAGTATTGCAGCCATAGACAGGGAGTTGTATGATAGGACCGATAACTAGGGGAAGAGTTGAGGGAGTAAATTAAGGATGAACAAATAAGTTAACATCTAAAGAGGAATTTAACATATTACAAAGTGGTGGAAGGCAGAAAGGCAAGCTGCTATGGAGACACCCATCATTTAGTTCCACAGCCCTGAAGTAAAGTACATGAGTAATTTTACTCATGACACATTTCCACTGAAGTCACAAACCTTAAATATTGTCAGTTTTTGGGCCGTATATTGTACTCAACAAACTATTTAAATAAAGATCCAGAGCGCACTTCATATGTTCTAAGAAAGCCCAGAAATAAAGTTGGAAGATTAAGTGAAACAAGAATTTGAGATACAAAGAAACAAAATAAAGTACTTACAGTTTTCATCCTGTGCAATGCACTGTAAAGGGATTCCAAAGAAAGACGTGTAGCTGTCATTGTACCACACCAACAGCTCAGTGCCCCTGGGGATATCTATACAGGCCCTGTAGAATATATTTGACCTAGTCATAACAAACAGAAAGATAGCCTAGTTTAAGAACGTGTAGGGGTCTGCTTGCCATCTGCATTAGTACGGTGGAATTCCACCTACTTAAAAGTATTTCTGCAGGATATCCCAAATGAATTGATGATTGTAAATGTGAATCCATCATCACTGCAGGATTAATTTAGGTTTTAATACTTGCTGTTAGCAACACAGATGAAGAATTTCTTTAATGTACAAAATAATTCTTAACATGACAGTGTTCCTCTAAAACTGAAATATATCAGTTGAGAGATTCTTGGTTGAACACGGTGAACATTTGGTCTAGTGCAGTCCAAAAAGAAGAGCTTGTAATACAAAGTGCTACTGAAGACATCTTTCTTCATATGGAACATGAGGACTAGATTGACGGCCCTTCAGTAAGTATGAATTACTGTTACGGATAAATTCCATCCTATGGGAAAACATTTTTTATTTTCCTAAGCCACACATCCAAGAGTTCCCCAATTTATGAAAAAAGCTTAGTGTTTTGCAAACTAGAGGCTTAACCCCAATCTCATGTTGAGGGAAACAGCTCAAGGGTAATTCAACTGAAGTTAACAGAGTTACACAGATGTAAAGGAAAGCCAGTGTGAAATCAAGATCAGGCATCTATGAATGAAATAAAAAGCCTATCAGTTTGTAGTGGCTTTTCCCTTAAGCCTGGTACAGTAACAGTAAAACACCCTTCTATGAGATGGATAGAAATTCAATACATACAAGAAGAGTGTTCCACTCTGGCTGAAAGATTACACACCAAAATGATACAGTCAAGGTACCAAGAAATGACCATTTTTTATAACAGCTTGTGTAAGGCAGAAAAATATCTATAGACTGAAAAAAAATGTTAGACCTCAACTGGTTTTCTCAGTGAAGAATTGCTACAAATATTAGCCTGAAGTTCAAGATAAAAGTGTTTAGGGTTGGTAGGCCTTAAATTTAGCCTTTCTGTAAAGAATTGGCTGTAGCAGTGCAATTTGTTCCTTGTATAACACTGCAGACATAAGGAGAATCCTTTACCACATTTTTCATGGCAGTGAGATATGCACTTGTCAACATATTTTGTCACCGCAAAGTGGCTCTTGGCAACAGGATCATAAAGATCAATAAAAAAGTGCAGATTCTCAATATTTTACTAGCAGCTGCAAAAATTTCATTTATCTTGTTATTTTCCTCGCTTACTGCCACCCTGTCTCAGGAGGGCACTGCTAGCTAAGCAAAATGTTTTTCCCAACATTCTATGAATATCTGACAAAAACTCTAGCTTTTGCATCTCTTTGTCGCTCCTTCTCCGTTCCACTTTCTCTCTCTGTCTCCCTCTTTCATTCTCCCTCTCTTTCCAAAGCTGTACATTTTATTAATTTTTTCCACTATTACATAAAAATCAAAATTGGAACTGTGTTATAAATCACCAGCTTCTCTTAACTCGAGAAAAATTGAGTCTACTTTGTACTTCACCCTTGTAACATTTCATCTCTCAGTTTGGCTTCCCTTAACATAAACACAGCGGCCCAGCAAATGAATGTGCTAAAACCAAATGACACACTTTGCCGCTGAAAGAGCAGAACTGTTTTTGAGCAATGGGTGGTCTGTGAGGCTTGGAGTAGGCTGAAAAAAATGTGTAAGTGTATACCGTTCCTTACAAGCATACAGAGCTTCCAAAACTTGCAGAAATCTCTGCATGCTGAAGTACATCAAAGGGATTTTTCCCTTTTCGGATAATATTTCCTTTGCTGACATGTATTTAGTATTGTGGTTGGATGACTCATAAAGATAGTTTCATGGCGTCCCAACGCAGTTGAAGCAGAACACATGCCAACAAACATTATTGTCAGCCTCAAAATAAAAACAAAACGTTCAGCTAAGGGTCAATCAATCAAGAGTGCTTTGAAGAAAATTCCATTTAGATATTACAAATCATAACAGAATGAATTTAAACCAGCTGACTTTCTGTGAGGAGGACGTCCATGTACAATAAAAATTAGGCTGGTTTTTCAGTGTCCAACTTTTCTATTTTCTTACACTTGGATGTAGTCACTGGTGATGGATGCCAGTTTTTTAAATTGTGTTTTTGTAGTTCATTTTATAAAGATCTGAAGTAATCAAAAACAGATCAACAGAGGGAACTCTAAGTAAAAGCTCCATCATGAAAGGAGAGTTGTAAAATCCACTTAATATTGACAGATGTATAATGACTTTCTTATACCCATATTTTGTTTAAGTTTTTGTGTGTGTGTGTGTGTGTGTGTGTGTGTACGTACACGTACACACTACATAGACTTACATACACAACTATAGTTTTCTTACTGGTTCACAAACTACCTGGATTACCAGCTAAAGTACAATGTGAGAGTTTTTGCAGTACAACAGTCTTTCCTCACTTTTTTTGTGGATTGTCTATTTAAACTCTCAGACAAAAAATTTAGCAAAAATATTAACTATTTAGGAGTATATTAAAAGATTTGTAATATATTGCAAATCACCATCATATATCCTTCTTTGTTCTTTCTTGAATGCTTACATTATTTAGATCAGTGGTCACCAACCACCGGTAGGTCTCGGAGCCTCTTGCAGTAGATCTTAGAGCCTCTTGGAGTCAATCTGAGGCTGGGGTGGCGGGCTGAGTGCCCACATGCATGCATATGTGTGCCCCGACCCAGCAGGTCAGTCCGTGGGAAAGGGAAGGAGGCTAGATCAAGGCCCCCACGGTGAGGGACAGTGCTGCAGAGGCAGGAGCAGGAGTAAGTTGAGTAGGGCCCTGGTGGGGTGGGACTTACCTGCTGGGGAGGCATGCCCCCAAATTATTTTTTCTCCCTCTGCCTCAGTCTGCTCCCTGCCTCCTTCCCCATAGACTTACCTGGTAGGCAGAGGGATGGGGGGTGGCGACAACGCACAGTAGATCTTGGGTTGCTTTTAAATGCCAAAGGTGATCTCCCACTTAAAATGGTTGGAGACCACTGATTTAGATAATTGTCCAGAAACAAAGAATGTTAAAACATTTAACTGGACCCTGTTACTGTTATTAAACTGAACTCCTAGGGACAACATCAGACTTTGTACATCTGTCATTTTATTTTGATTTTACATGTTTGTTAAAAAGTTTAGAACATTATAAATAAGTTTAAGATTTGTCACTAAAAAAAGATAACCCCAAATAAACAGCCAAAGACAGGAGCACTCAGTTTGGTTACCAAACACAAGGCATTCTTTGATGTTCCTGCTATAATATCTAATAAAACCAAGCAGTCACTTCTTATTCTGAAAGGGGAAGGCTTGTTTATAGCTGAGATCATATATTTATGCAACACATTTTCTAGTTCTTTTAGTTTTGTTGATGGGAAGAAGAGTAGATGCCAACAGTTTTTTATATATCTTTTCTCATTTTTGTTCTGTTGTGTTTTAACACAACATAATGCCATGAAACCATCTTGGCATACAGGTGCATCAGCAGATGCATCTTCTGTGCAGATGTGTTCCATGACTCCCTAAGGGCTTTGGCCTTCAAAATTCAGCTGCTTTCATCTCAAGTGAGACCTTTTCCTTGTCCTTCTCCTTCAGCCCATTTATCTGTCAGTAAGAGTGGAAGACAAGCTCACCAAATCTTCTAGAGCAATCTGCAGGACTACTCAAGGGATGTTGTGTAGATTGCTTTGTGCAATGCAGTGTGCATGCATGTTCTGCAATTAATGACACAGGCCTGATTTTGACCTCAAGAGCACTGTTGAATTCAGAATCAGCCCTATGGTGTCCCTCATTCCTATCAAAAAAGTAAAATCCAAAATGCCATGTTTCTATGATGTAGAAGGAAGGGATTCAAGAAAAGCATACTGTTAGTTTGGAATTTGCTTTATGAACTGGTGACAGCTATGTTTCTGGGTTTTTTATTTAAAGGGGGTTTTGGGGGGGGGGTGTTAGTGAATACATTGAAATGTACTTTACCTGTATTGAACTACTGTTAAGTTCTGTTCGCCACAGTGCCTCGCACATCGGATATACCTCATCCAACTTGACTTACTGGGTTCTCCACCATCAATAAAGTGCTGCAGTGTCCCATCTTGGTCATATATCTGGAGAAGAGGTCAGAATGTCAAGTAGTTAGAACAAATCATCAGCAATCATTTTCACTGCTTTGCTGGTGTCTCTGTGTGCTTTTTGCAGAAATTTATTGCCATGAGATTTGTCATTGCTTATTGATGTCCTTAGAAATCCAAATGGAATGACAGAGGAGTATTTTTGGTGATGCAAGTTTATCGTATTTCTCTTATCAAGCCAATCTTTTCTACATTAAACATATTTGTTGTGTTTCAAAGATGTGACCAGTTTCCCAAAGAATATTTAACCTATTTTGACAGGCTAGCCTTAAATAATGAACTGCCAGATAAACAAGAAAATCTGGATGCAAAGGCTGCATTGAAAGGCTGAGACATCAGAGAAAGGATTAGTAGTCTCTAAACAAGTATCACTTCTTCACATTTCATTTCCAGCAAAAGCTTGTATTTAGGTCTAGAAAACCTTCTTGTATTGAGAGCAGAGAACATCAGACAGCTAATGCTTAGCAGTAGTTCAAAGCTTGTTGTGAAGATACCTGAAGAAATATAAATTTTCACGTAACAAATGAGAATTCAGTTTTAAGAGATCTAGTTTTTCATAAATATGACATCCTTGCTAAAGACAGAAGAACCCAAAACAGAACTTTAAAAACCCACAAAACAACATTAAAAACAACTCACGGCACTCTTCCTAATTCTTTGGCAGCCCTGAAATCATTGGGTCAAATATTTGTTCCCATTTTTTTCATACACCCCTGCATTTGTCGTTTCTAAGTAGTTTTGAATTGGGTGCAGTCTAGAATGCAGTTAGAGAGTTTGGTATCAAACTTCCTGACTATATTTCATGTATCATTTGGATAGCCTGGGCAAGTTTATGATAGCATTAGAGCAGTCAGGTAGTTAACTAAACAAAACATGATCTCTGACTCTTTTTAGATTGCCCATTCACTGTATCTTGTCTCTTTAATAATTTCAATAATCTGAATACTTTCTTTTAGGATATTTTATAAGAGAACCCTTTAAGCATTCTGAAAACTGGTCTTAACCTTAAAATAAATAATTTCACTAATAAAATGGGAACTGAATTAAGGATTGAGAAGGAACTATATTCTACAAAATCAACTTCAGGTTGGCAGCATTAATTCAGACATAACACAGAACAAATCTACTTGGATATTTCTCAGTCATCATTAAAAACAAAAACCTGCTTCAAAGGATGACCCACAAATTCCACAAATTGCACCCAAGCACCATGTTTGAATATGCACCCAAGACTGCAGCACATTGAGACAAGTTACAGCAGCCCTGGCTGGCAGGGACTAGGGGGGGTCAGGCAGCAGTGCCCCACACGGAAGCACCCTTGTGCCCCAGCCAGCCCTGTCAGTGTCTATATGTGTGCTGCTGCAGAGTAAAAAACACTGCCATAAAATAGTACTTGTATTTACAAGTACTAATCTGCAGCAGAGTTTATTAGTTTTCTCCAGCCTAATAGCTCTGCACATGTAGATGCTCAGACATTTACCACGGAGCTAATTAGGCAATTCCACAGTAAACGTCTCAAGTAGATGTGCCCAGTGAGTCTCATTTCCATCCCTGACAAATCAGTGGAATTTACTATAATGAATAAAAATAGCAGTTACAGGGACCAATATGATCTGCTGGGGAAGAGTCCACGTAGTTTTTGTAAACAGAAATCCTGCCTCACCAATCTGCTAGAGTTCTTTGAAGATGTTAAGCATGTGGACAAGGGGAATCCAGCTGACATAATGTATTTGGACTTTCAAAAAGCATTTGACAAGGTCCCTCACCAAAGGCTTTTTAAAAAAAGGAACTGCCATGGGATCAAAGAGAAGTTTCTGTCATGGATTGAGAGCTGGTAAAAAGGTAGGAAGCAAAGGGTACTATATGGTCATTTTTCAAGAGGGAAGTATGTAAAAAGAGAGTTCCAGCAGGGAAATGTGCTAGGCCCAATTTTGTTCAACATTTTCACCAATGATCTGGAAATGGGGGTATACAATGCAATCTCCAAGTTTGCAGATGATACCAAATTATTCCAGGTAATCAAATCCCAAGGCGACAGAAAGGAGCTCCAGAATGGTCTCACTAAGCTAAGTGAGTGGGGAAAAAGTGGAAGATGAATTTCAATGTTGATAGTGCAATATAATATGCATAGGAAAAAATAACTTCAATTATATGTGCACAATGCTGGGTTCTGAACTAGCTGTTACAAATCAGGAAAGAGACCTTGGAATCATTGTACATAGTTCTCTAAAAGTGTCAGTTCAACGTGCAGTGGTGACTAAAAAGACCAATAAAATGTTGGTAATCAATCATTAAGAAGAGCAGTGAAAATAAAATGGAGAACATCATCATGCCATTTTACAGACCCATGGTGCACCTACACCTTGAATATTGCATACATTTCTGTTCTCTGCATCTCCACAAGAGTATAGTAGGATTAGAAAAGGCCCAGAGAAGGGCAACCAGTGGTGAGATGTAGGGGATGCACCCCTTGTCAGGCCGCACTCCCTGTTTAGCTGGCGGGCAGGGGGCACGTGGGAGCACTAGTGCCCCCCCCCCCCCCCCCCCCGGACGCCTGCGCCCCCCCCCCCCCCCCCCCCTGCAAGTGCAGGCCAGGGAGTGAAGCTGTCAGCAAAACATCTGCGCCACTTCTGGAACTGGCTGTGGGACTTCCGGAAGCAGCGTGGCCACTTTTTGGTGAGTCGCTTTTTGGGTTGCTCGCCCAAGTCAGTGGGATTGGCTGGGGGGGGGGCCGATGCTGAATGATGTCAAGGGGGGCACATGCACCCCCTGACTCAAGAGGCACCAGTCATCAATGAGGGCAACCAAAATGATCAGGGGTATGAAGTAGTTGCCATACCAGGAGAGACTAAAAAAGTGAGGACTCTTTGTCTGGAAAGCAGAAGGCTGAGGGGGGATATAATAGAGGTTCATAAAATCATAAATGGTGTGGACAAAGTGCATAGGGAACTGTTACTCACCAAGTCCCAGAATACTAGAGCTAGGGGGCACCCACTGAAATTAGTGGGAGATAGGTTTAAAACTAATAAGAGAAAATACTTTTTAATGCAATGCATAATTAACTTGCGGAATTCTTTGCCACAGGCAATGGTAGAGGCAGATAGCATAGCCTCTACCATTGGTTCAAAAAAGGGACAGGACAAATTCATGGATGATGGATTTGTTAATAGCCGTTGAACAGAACTGTTCAAGATGTGTTCTCTGGCATCTCCAATAATGGTGGATACCAGGGAGAATAATGAATAAGGGATTGAGGACTCTAGATATATCCAGTTCAATGCTCTCTATCTAAAGCATCTACTCAGTCCACTGTCAGAGACAGGTTACTGGGCAAGGTGGAAGATTGGTCTAACCCAGTATGGCACTTCTGATGTTCTTAGGAGTAATTCTATACCAGATTGTCTGAATTTACCCTGGTCTAGAGGTGTGTCTTGCCCGTCTAGTCCTCTTTTGCACTAGTGTAAAGGCCAAATATAGTGGTGCGACCATTTTGTCCAGGACCATTTTGTCCAGTCATGTGTGAGGTTCTCTGGCTGGAGGGCTAACTAATCAAATACATCAGAATTAATGCAATAAAATTAATGGAAAATAGCAGGTATCCTCAGGGGTCTGAGGGGCTGTGAAGAGAAAATTTACATCTAAAAAAAAGCAAACAAATATTCCCCCCGCCCCCTCCGAGTTCATTGCTTCTCTCATGAGAGGTACAAACAAAAACACAAACTGACATATTTTTCACACAAAATATATTAATTTATTGTGTAAGCATAGGTAAAATATGCTAGAGTAATAAAACATCCGTAATGGAGAGGGAAAGGTGGTTACAGTAAATGTGCCCACAAGACAGAGAAAAGGAAAAATAAATGACTAACAGTGTTTGGCAGCAACCAGCTGGCATCTGTCTAAACAGTTTCTGAACATAATATTTATTATTTATTTATTTAAAATATTTATATGGTGTTTACTAGCATCAGAACATGGCTTAGAGTGAAACAAATACAATTCCCATAAAAAGAGAGGTAATATGCCATTGTACCTTCACTACTATGAATTCAGAAAGACAAAGATGATGAGCATAACAACAGCCAATGAAGGGAAAGTTGAAGTGGACCCAGTGTTTTTAGTAAAACCTGGCCAGCTCAAGCTTTAATCTTGAATACGAATAACCTCATTATAAAGCAAAAGTTAGCTGCCCTAGTGGTATTGGATCAGGCCCTATGTTATTTCATGTTATGTTCCACTTCTGATTTATATTCAGGGGCAGATCCAGAGGGGATACAGTGGCATGGCCCACCTCTCCTTTCTGACATACAGCAAGAGCAGCAGCCAAGGATTTCAAGTCCCCAAGAAGGTAAGACTCCCCCCACTCTCTTCGCCTCCATGCTCAGACACGTGTCTGCTCCCCTCTCATCTCCTCCCCCACCTGCCACTGCCATTGTCCCCACTGTTTCTGCTGTCCTGGGGGTTAGTGGAGCTTGTATCCTGCTCTGGCAGGGCTATGTGGCAGCTCAGCCCAGGACAGCAGCAACAATGCCAGGAGTGGATGAGAGACCAGGGTGATAGGGACCCCTGAGAAAGGAGGCATGGGGAAGGGAAACCCATCCAAGCCTCACACAGCCCAGATCTCTCCCCCAGGATGGTGGAGACAGCAGAGACACTGGCAGCAACAGGTGGGGTGGTGGGAGAGGGGAGGAGAGAGGAGTAGAGGGGAAGGAAAGGAGCATGCCTCTGAGCAAGGAGAGTAATGGAAGGGGGCGTCTTACTTTCTTCAAGATTTAAAAAGGCCCCTGGTTGCTGCTCCCTCATACAGTCTATCTTCCCTGGTGCAGCAAGCTGGGGAGGGAAAAGAAGGCTGGGAGCAGGAAGTGCAGCCATCCCTGTAGTGCTGGTTGCTGCTCCCACATCCCCCTTTGTAAAATCCTGAATCCACCCTGCTTATATCTATGGTTTAGATTTCCAGGAACCATCACATTATCTCA